CTTTCTGAGAAACTCATCTTTTTAAAATATTATCTCCTTCATCTTTTACAGAAAGCTAGTGGAATCTAGGTTTTTCTCTTAACACTGCACTCAAAGACCCAAGAAAACAGTATTTCACTTAACAGTTGTTGTATGCTTCACAGAAGAGGCATCCAATGTCAGGGATTACTTATCATAGAAAGTGTATGATACAGTGTAATTAAGGATGGATTCTGTTCAGGAAAGGGAAGGTGTGCTTGTTTTTCCTGAGGTAAAATCAGGAAAACTGCAAGCATGGAAAATAATATAGGAGGGAGGAAAGACAAGAAGTCTCTTAAAAATGTGTACTAAACTGAGTTTGTAGACTTTCAGAATAATACAGATCTCTGAGTGCTTGCAAGTTTGCCAGCATCATTTGGGATTTCTTGCCATTTCAGCATAGAGGACTGATTGCCAGAGAGGTAATGCAGGTAACTGTAGCAAAGCATTGTCTGTGATATACAGTGGAAAATAATTGATATTGTCCTGACATTTTTCCCCTCAGGAGCTATCAGGTATGTCCATATTCAGAGAATTTCTTTGAGATTTCTGTAGAAAAAAATTTGCCTCTTCCCCAGAAGATGTAGATTTGGATTTCTTTTTTCTGGAAGGTTGAGTACACTCTGATAAAGTAAACAGCAGTTTAGATTGCAAAACTTTCTCATAATATTTTTTAAATCGAAAAAGAAGAATCTTCAATAGCATCTGGAAAAATATCTGAACACTTAGGGTTAACAGACCTAAAATAGGCTTCGTAATTCAACATCAGCTTCTCTTCACAGTCCTCAGAGAGAATATGTACTTTATCACTCATAAAGTGATGACTGTATTTTATTTGCTTTAGTCTAAAATAAGCTTTCGATATCCCTGGGTTTTTTTCCCCTGTGTCTTCTGAGGGGCACAGAAGACTCTGCACAGCAATTTGTTTTTAAAGTAGGCAAGATAATACAATTTTCATAGTGTATTCCCTCCAAAGTGCTGAAATGGCTGGGTTCCACCCCACTTCATCCTCTGACCTCTTCTCAAAAGAGGACATTGACAGTGCACAGCTTTGGCACGACACCCAAAGGCACCTCCCCAAACCTAAACACAGCTGCTTGGTCTAAATTTAGATCCACTGACCCTTTGACAGCTATGGGGAACTACATACATTGGTGCAAAATGTTGCACAAGGCATCATAGTGATAGCTGAATGGTCCCTGGAAAAGTCCCTGTGTCCGTTCACTGAGAGTGAAGGCACAACACATTGTTAGCACGCATGGACTTGTTAATGCAGATGGACTTGCAAGGGCCTGACTCTGAGACGGGGTAGCTCTGTGTCACTCTAGGCACAAAAATAAGCATGTGCAAGCAGCTCACTGAGGTGATACATGAAAAGGGGAGGGTTTGAAAAGAAAGGCTAACTTTGTATTCAGGGCAAGGGAAATTAAGGTTCTCTGAAGGAATATAAAAAACAGTTCATCTCCCTGCCTTTCCCTAAACCACAGAACCAAGGGCACTTCATTGCTCCAAAGTGGCAGTTTTGTTCAACAGTGGCAGTAACTGTTGCCTTGATCTGGTACCTGACCAATACCCTCTCTGCATGTTCCGATTTCACAGGCTTTTCTCTTGGTCAAACAAGCTTAAAACTACCCTTCTAACTACAGTTCACATTTTTCATATGTAAGTGATGGCCTTATCTGTTTTTAATCCTGTTTCTACACTTCTTAAGCCCTTTGCCTTGTTAAAGGATGCCCATAGTAACTCCCAGAAGAACCTAGCTGTTTCTTCCATCTTTTAGAGCTTCTGGTCTGCCTGTTGAATCTCAGTGTAGTCTTTCCTCTTCTCCAAATCACTAATCTTTGCAGGTGCATGCTCCTTTCATGTTCTCCCAGCTGCCACGTGCAACTCCCTTTAGCTGGAGTTTTGTTGCATTAATTGAAAATGGGTCAACACCCATGAATTTCACTAAAGCATGCTTTGTGGAAGGATTAGAGAAAGGAAAAGCCTTATTAATGTTAGGATATCATATATCTCAGGCTTTGCTTTTCCTGGATAACTGTTGCTGTGTGGGGAAGAGTGTAAGCCACAGTGAGTGTGTGGGCAGTCTTTTTGGAGAATGCAGCTTTGGAGGTTCCAGTCTCAGCACATAAGCATGTGCGTTCAGGGACACATCTGTATGTGCTTGAGAATACCTGAGAATGTTTTCAAGTGTGGTTATTTTTTTCACCTCACTGTTGTGCATTGTTACTTAAGGTTACTTTGCTTTTTAAAAATTTCCTGCTAAGGGCCCTTTTAATACTCCCTCATCCTTTAATGCCCATATTAACAAAAATCTGGTGACAGCAGAAGAGACAAAAAAGTTGAGAATTAAAAGTGCTGTTATTACTATCATTTGTCAGCAAATCTTTCTCTTCAGTTTGAGTGTTCAGAGCTTACTTCTCAAAGCAGACAAGTGTCAATAAACTCTGTTACCAACAAAGCTGCAACAGTTCCCTTAGCTTCTCCATCATGCAGCCAGTAAAAGATGCAGAGCACTTCCAATCTAGGAAGCATGTAGATACATGCATGAAGAACTTGAGAAAGAGGTTTAGTATAGCATTTCCTGACAGTGCTATTTCTCTTGCCTTTAAAGTCTAGTTTTACTTATAGTTCAGATGATGAACATCAAACAGCCAGGTAGTTAACTGTCCTTTGGAAAAACACTTGAATGCAGTACAAAATGTACCAGGAAGTGTCACAACAAAGACAAGAAATATGAACTAGACCAGCCCCTTGGTTTGGTTACAGATCATTTCCTACTGAAACACAAATTTGGAAAAGTGTATAAAAGGCACATATCTCCAAGTGTATATTTAAGGGCATTATTTGAATCTGTCTTTAACCAATGTATCTTTACTGGTCCTTTAGAAAATTCCTGTAGGTAGCTAACAGGAGGCTGCTGGGAGAATGTACAATGGAGCAAAAGCCACTTTTTGTACCTAGAGAGGACATACTTTGTTGGTTGTTTTGTTCACTTGTCTGATTCCGTACAGTTTGATTTCACTGTAGCCCCTAGAAAAACATGTTGATGTGCTTTGCGATGCAGTGAAGCACAGTTCCCTGCTCCTTTCTGCTGAGGACAGGCTGTGCATGCTGGCAGGCGCTGGCGTTGGCTCACGGGGCGGGCACCTCCCCCAGACAGCAGCAGGGAGAAGTTGCAGTCATGGGTGATGGCATGGGTGGAGCTCCTCACACCAGTTGTCCCGTGGGAGATAGCTTATCTGTGGATGCCTGTGTTTCTGGAATAATATCCATTTGATTGAAAGCCAGAATTAGAGTAGGGAAGAAATTGGCTGCCAAGGGCTGATTGGCACTTGGAGTCAAAGGAAGCAGCACGGACCCTGCAGCGAGGATCTCCTTATCTGTCAGCACCAGCCTCTCTACCTGCAGGTGTGTCCCAGCAGTTCCTGCTGCTACTCTTCTTTCTGTTATTTTTGTTTCCCTTCGCAAATGCCCTCTAACTTTCAGCATTTTACACAGAAACACACCACAAACACTTGATTAGCACTGCCAATGCAGTGCTTATGTAGAAAGGAGAGAGCAGAAGAGTAATTTTTAAGAGCACTTGGGTGCACCTGCTTTTTTCTGTAGCTAAATAACCAGTTAGTTTGATCAGTCCCATCTCTGTTCTGTTGTGTCATCTGAATTAGACTGAAGAAGAGCTCAAGGCATTGCATTATGATTCCTCTGCCCAGACCTTTTGTTGTCATTTTTCACACTCACACAGTTATTCGTGTTGCTTCAGAGCTCATAAGGGAAAGAAATTATTAATGGAAACATAATTTAAGTTAAAGAATTGGTCATCGTTGTTTGTTGTCAAGTCTGGCTGGTGAATAATGACTCCTTAACTATTCTGTGGAAAGGCAACTTTCATTTCTGAGAATGGCATCCTACACCTGCAGAGCTCCTGTGGGGTGAGAACAGAGCTGATACCACAGTAAATGACCATGATATAAAAAGGAAAGGGGGAAGGATTTCAGTGCATAAAACCAAATGCTAAAATTCTCATATCCAGTTACAAGACAGAATAGCTGTTATGTCTTGTATCAGAAATGACAGGTGGGATTGCTGAGAATATTGTTTTCTAAGTACCTATGTAAACAAGAAGAGATCCTGTCTGCATTTATTGACACATGTTGGCATGCTGAGGTGATTTATTTTAGCCTGATAAGTGGGGTTACTTCATCTTATTCTGCCTTTTTAGCAACATTTTCTATCATTTGTTAGAAAGGATGGTGTTAAAGTTTTTTTCCTCACGGTTACAGTGATAAGCTACTGTTCAAATGAGTCAGGTAGGGTTGCTGGTTGAATACTTATGGTGTCTTCATGAGAACACCTGGATTTTAAAGCTAAGATTTAAGGAGCAACTAATATCAACTAAATACTTCTGACTTGTCTTGGAATAAAAAGCAAGCCATGAAAGCAAAAAATTACAGGCACTCAAACTATTTGCAGACACTTGAAGAGAAATCTCTCTCTCCTCTTGGCTACAAAGTACAAACAAGGCATTGCATGACACAAAACCAAATTATTTGGATTATTTTCAAATAATGTCTAAAGGATAAGTTCTTAAAGGCAGGTATATGCCACAAGATACAGTTTAGTACTTATTGTGATAAAATGTCAAATCCCATTAAAATTAAATAATTCTATTGTGTGAATGTTTCAGAAGCTTCAGTGTGATTTATCTTTGTCTGCTACTCTTTAAAAACCTTTGATAACCAGGTCTTATGCTTTTTTACATCTTTAAAAATCCCTCTGGAGAACAATATGACTTGGGAGGTGAATGCCCCATTCCAAATAGAATTATGGCCCAGGTACTGAGACCTATGCCATTGCCAAAGTCTCACAAAACTGAAAGCATTTTACAGCTGGGAGGGACTCTCATAGCTAAAAAAGAAAGTAAATTGGCAGTGGATTGTAAACAAATTACTAATTGTTCCCCTGCATCTTTTTTCCAGCTGCCTATTTCTCTGTCCTTCGAAAGCCACCCTCTACGTCCAGTTTCCCAGGAGGTCTGTTTGTTTTCTCCTTTCTGCTTGCCATCAGCTCTTTCACTCATTGCAAAATGCCTCCCTTCCATCTCCATGTTGCTCAGCTCTTCCCAGGGAAGTATGACGCTGTCTGCTCTCACACCATCCTGCTTTTGTGACTGCCCCAGCCCAAGTCTGATGTGGAGCCAGCAATGCTGCTCTTTAGTGATAAATTATATCATCACCTCTCTCCCCTTTGACATATCAATTTATTTTTTTTCCAACACTTGCGTAAATCACCTTTAGCCATAGAATACTGAACAGATGTTTTAACATTAATTTAAAATGCTCTTCAGAAAATCCAAAGTGAAATTTCCAGTAAACATAAGAGACCACAAGGGACCTAGCCAGTGCCCTGCTTTTGAGTAATTTTCCCACGCTCTGGATAGGTAAAAAAGGAATGGGGGAAAGCTGTCAGTTCAGTGACATCAAAGAGCTCTGCACCTCTTCCATAGAAAAAAAGGTTTGTATTAAACAGCCCTGAGTTGTGATAATGTGTACAAAGGGAATAAAATACTGAGCTTTTTAAGGTCACCTCCAACCAAATTGAAGGTAATTAATTAATTAGTAATTTCTTAATGGTGTTAGAAGAGCCAATGAGAAGTTATTACCATGAGTTATTTTAAAGCTAATTAATGAATGCATATGTGTGTACATAGCTATGGATGTGTACAGAAATTATTTCTACAAAAACTGTGTTGGGTAGCAGTTTCAGAAATGGGTACAAAGTCTGAGTATGTTCATAATCAGTGTACATGAAAAATATGGTTTACAGGTATTTTTCACATCGTTGTTGCTCCATAAGTGGTTTCTCTGCTATAACAAGGGAGGGACAAGATCACTCTCACAAAAGTAGAAAACACTGATGGTTTTTATTTTCAGTTTAAGCCCCCAAGGGAAAAAAAAAAAGAAAGAAAATATACCTTGCCTTTCCTATTATTTAGATTTATTTAGATTTAATAAAAGTCCTTAGCATTTTTACTGGAGTGATTTGTCTCTCCTGTTGTGTCTCCTACATCAATGGGACTCTTTTCACCAGTTCTTGTATTGCAGACAGATTCACAAGAAGTAATAAGTTTGAACAAGGAGAGACTTTTTTTGTTAATTAGACCTATAAAATTTCTGTGAGGACCCAGGATGAGTCAGATGCCCTCAATGTCCACCCTCTCTCACTGGCAAAGTGAACTCTGCACGTGAGCTGAGCTTCTGCCATGAGGTGCGCTGGCGAATGGATGCACATCCTGGGTACTCGGCCTGGTCTGCACAGGGACATTCATTGAGCAGTACAGCTGCAGCAGTCCAGGACATAACTGTGGAGAGCTTCAGTGAATATTGGCTAGATCAATATTCCTGTCATTGCTTATGTCAAGTAATGAACTCCAGCATTACCTGTATCAGCATGCCCAATGGCATGGTAATTTCTATGGCTACTTATAATATGCAGGGTATAATATATTTGTACAGCTGTTCTTTGTAAATAAATTGTGAGGACAAGCCTTAGAAGTACAAACCAAAAATATGCCAATATACATAATAAAAATATATATATATGTAAACCTGAACTCCCTCTTCTTCCATTGCATAAGACCAGCAGGCGTAAGAGGAAAACAACACAATTTCACTTTTTATAACTGCAGAGACTAGAAACAAAGATGTTTAACAGATTTGTCACAGAAGGAGGGCATATTGGCAAAAAATAATTTCTGAGGAAGCTGCACTATAGGGGCCTGGATTGACCCTTTTGAGATAAGAGTTAGCAAGAGTTCCTCTTGACTTCAGCAGGAATTACTGCTCAGGCAAGGGGAATACCCAAGAGCACATAATGCTTCTAGAAAACATGATAAAACGTGTTGGCCGCTTTGGAAGAAAAGGGCGTTTTCGTAGATGGGAATGTTCTAGACGAGTCAGGATTCCCCTGCCAGCTGTCCTTCTCCTGTTCCTCCTTCATCCTAAACTGCTTATGTTGCTTCTGTGATGATAGTTTTGTCTTTCTCCTAGGTATTTATCTTATAGCAATAGTGCCATCTTCTTTTACATTTACTGCTAGCAGTACCACAAACCAGCATCCTGTTTGCCTTCTTTATTGCAGCTGCATACGGGGCGGAAGGCTTTAGGGACTTTCATGCAATAATTCCCAAATCTTTTTCCAGTAAGTATACTGAAACTCAGTTCACTACAGAGCATTTCCATCTAGTTCCTACTTTTATGATTTTTTTTGTTTGTGTCATTTCATTTCTGAGTAGTGTATGTTTGTCTGCATGCACTTAAGTAGTCTGATCTTTTTGTTTTGTTCATCTGTGTTTTGTTTTAACTTAACAAAAAACTTTGCTTCAAAAGTTACCTTCTCCAAATTCCTGGCAGGCACGGAGCCTAGAATTGTTTATTAAAAGTACATATTTATTATTCTTATAACTGAAAAGAAAAAAAATTAGATGAAAATTGTGGAAAATCTTGTCATATACTCAAGCCAAATATTTCTATTGCTTCCATTTGCCATGATGAAAACAGCAGTATGACATTGTAGCTCATTAAATTTGCAGAATCAGATCTGTTTAACCAGTCATGCCATCTTTTTAAGTCATTGTTTGGTCATTGATTTTTTTGGTACATCACTAAATTATTCCTCTTTCTAGAACATACATTTTAAAGGAATACTGCTGTTTATGATATGCACTTTTTCTGGTTTGCATATGATTTTTATTATAATGCAATACTTGAAAAAACATTAAAATACCTAGATTGGTAAACTTTTTAAAAGGTGTCCAGTCAAGCAGTATTCATAAATGTGAACACCTTTAGGCTTTTGTTTACCAATAGGATTTTGAGTCAGATACTCTTGTCAGTTACATCCTTGCACTCCTTCTGGGACCCCTGTGAGGTTACAGGATGTATCAGAAAAGAGTTTGTCAATCCTCTCCATTTCAAAGAAATATCAAAGTCTTTCAATCTCTTGAGGTAATTATCGTCCGTAGCTTTTTGTTATTTTATTGCTACACCATCACTTTTTTTAATGAGGTTACCGTAAAACTGTTGTTCCACAGAAGAAAAAGACCTGGACTTTATTGGGTGAAACAGATCCTTCATACTCTTAGCTACCTACTGAAGTAAACTCTTTGGTTTTTTTGGGTGGGGTGGGATGAAGGTAGAGGGGGTTTTACTGTATGGAAAGTAAGATTTTGGGCAATGAAATGGTCCTTTCCAGCCTAATGAAGAATATTTTTTCACCAAAATCACCAGATTAGAGAAGAGGGAAATAATAGCAAAGATTTTTTTTAGTACATAAAACATCGTGCAATCCTGTGGAGAGACTAGGAATGAATACTGGCATGAAGTTGTCTTGACCCTTTTCCTTAATGTTGAAGTTTTCTGTGTTCATATCACATCAAATTTACTAGCCTCTATGTTATCACATGTTGTGTGGCTGTAGAGAATTTACATAAATTCTTATTCTGGCTGCAGACAGTTGTCACCTATGGGATTACAATGTAAAGGATTTATCCTATAAAATCATAATAGTTTTCCCATCCATCTTTTTTTTATTTGACTGGTTTTTAATCATAACTTCTGGTTATAGTAATAGTCTGCAATTACTCAGCGATCCTAATCTTGCTCTCCTAGAAACACAACTATCACTCCTATAGCTTCCTTAAATTCTTCCTTCCATCCTTCCCTACCCTGATTTCTTTATCAGTGTTTGTACTCTGCTTTCCCATTGGCATTGCTTACCCTGTAGAACTGCAAACCAAAAATTTGGATTCCGTACAACCCTAGGAATCTTCCTGCCATGTGGAGAATGTTGCATTTTCTGTTCATCCATTGAGTTGAGTTACTTTCACAATTGTTTTGGACAAATCCCTGTGAAGTGGGTTAATTTTAAGTTTCATTCCAGTTAGCCTGGTTGTCAGAATGAAAGCTATAGAAAATCTCAAAGCGACCTAGAAACAAACCTGTAATATTGTTTGGGTTCTCAGCTCGCTGGATGCCTCATATTTGTTTTAGTGGTATTCACTGTTCATTGTTCCACGTGTTAAAAACTCATCACATTGCCCACAAAATTATAGTTGAGGTCACAGCATTTGTTATTTAGTGTTATTTAGTGATATTGTACCTGCTGTTTAGAAGTTAACTCCTTTCATGTGATTGTTTCTTTGCCACATTATTTGTTCTGTAACCAAACTGAGTGGCATCCTGTATTGTTTCTTTCAGCTGGTAATATTAAAATAGAGACTCAGAGTGATGAAGAGAATGGGCGTGCCTGTGAAATGAATGGGGAAGAATGTGCGGAGGATTTACGAATGCTTGATGCCGCAGGAGAGAAAATGAATGGCTCACACAATGGCCCAGGCAGCAAGGCTTTGTCAGGAGTTGGAGGCATTCGACTTCCTAACGGAAAGCTAAAATGTGATATCTGTGGGATAATTTGCATCGGTCCCAATGTGCTCATGGTTCACAAACGAAGCCACACTGGTAAGGCCTGCCATAGTTTTTCCTATAGTTAACAAGAACTGGCCTAGTTCTTGTAGTTAGTAGCTAAGACTTATACTCTGTATCATGCACGAGTTGCCTCTTCTAAGGTAACGCAGCATGGGTGAGCCTTTGGAACTCAGTTATTTTGGTACGTCTTTCCGGCCTGCACAGAAATTGAGACTTCTTCATGGAAGTTCATCTATTGGACTAGAAATTGTGCTGTTTGTTTGATTTGAAACAACAAAAAAAAATTGAAAAGTCAAACTTAAAAGAAGTATTTTTTAATTTCTAAGAACTTTCCAAGAACTGCTGAAGAAAAGCCCATTTGTAGCTAATTCTGAAATTAACCCAGTTGTTATGTTGTCAACAAAACAGAAAAGCTCATTATGGATCAGTGATTATGAAAGTGATTGGAAAAATATTTATTAAGAGAACTGTATTGACAGACTTGGTCAAAAAATACTTACATTTCATGTCCAGTGTTTCATTAAGTGAAAACAAGTATTGTCATGGGTCAAATGTGCACTAAAGTGTTTCCACCAGGACACTAAAAGAGACATGTAAAGATTTTGTGTCCACAGGGATGGCTTTTCATTATACAGTGCTGTGAATATTCTTTTCTCAATTTTCTAATTCTGATAAGTCTCAAAGAGGGCCAAAAATGAAGAGGCTGAAACAAATGAAAAAGTAAAGAATGAGTCTCACCTTGCCTGATATAAGATGTCTAAAAATTAGGCTTCCAATCTAAACTTTAATGTCATTCATAGCTAAAAGAGAAGAACCAAACTATATTGTTATTTCACAGAAGTTGCTTTGAAAATAAATTTGGGTTTTGGCATTTTTACATGAATATTCCAATGAGAGCAAATTTTAAAATATTTTTAAGGTAAGAATTGATCTGTCTTGTAGTTACAGTTGAAATAGTTGTGCCAATAAACACATAGATTCTTTCATCCTCCATATCCTCACAATCTTGCTTAAGTAACTTTCCCAGAATTACTAAGCAGTGAGATTAACGAAGTGCCTTCAGAGTTAAAATGGAGAGGATTTGTGAAAAAGCCCACAGTGTGTTCCATTGCCCTCAGTGTTACTGTCTGTCACAGGAACTGTGAGCCATGGAATGTGCGATCTGTTAGTGTAACACGGGGTAGCCACGTTGAGAAGCAATGCTGCTACATTGCCTGCTTCTAAGTACTCTTCAATTCTATGTGATAAATCCCTCTGTCAGGGAAGAACAGACAATTATTGGAAAAGTCACAACTAGTACTCAGAAGAGAGGCAGTAGCCTACTTTCAAGATATAAAAAGTACTGATTGATCCTTTCCTTTCCTTTCCTTTCCTTTCCTTTCCTTTCCTTTCCTTTCCTTTCCTTTCCTTTCCTTTCCTTTCCTTTCCTTTAAAAATTGATAAAATGAACATGTAAAATGACTTGTACGTGAGCCCTTTAAACAGGGCTAAAGAGGTTGCTGTAATGGTTGAAACAATATGCTGCAACTTGAAAGGCACTTAGAGGTAGAAGTTTTTGTGCTTGCTTAAGCAGACTGCACTTTTGTTAAAAAACTCCCACTGTTGCTGGATCAGAGGAGCTGTTTCAGGTCCCTAAGGGTCCATGGCAGTGTTTGCACCAGGGCTAAATGGCCTGTGTGAGAGCACACCTGACTTTAGGGAGGTGGTGGGCACAGCTGCCTTTGCTTCTCATGAGCTTCTTGGTACCCAGCTCGCTGTCTCTGAGCATGCGCTGGGCTGCCTGGTCCCTATGACAGTATCCCCAGGGGCCACCTCACTGAGTGCCAGGTCATTTCCCCAGACCTTCAGCTCGCCGAACCTCTTGCCTGTCAGACGGACCCATTTGCCTGCCAGGGGTGCTTGGGGTGCTACCACACAAAGATTGTCACTTGAAGATTTCTTCACCCTTTGCAGAGCTCTTCCCTTACCAACTAGACCTCTTTTTAATAAGGGAATATAGTTCAAGCCTACAGTGGAAGCAGCCCACAAGAGGCACTTTGTTCAGCAAAACCCTCTTTTACACTCGATAAAACTAAAGGGTATGAAATTTTGTCCCTAGGTCCTTCCATGCAAAACCTTTGCTTTCCCTCATGCCTCATCCTCAGCTCCTCTCCTGAGCAGCCTCTTTGAATGAGCTCAGGTGGTTTTTCAGGGGCTGGCAAAGGAGTGGAAGTTCAGAGCTGGTAGTTTAAATTAAAGGGACGTCATGGGGAAACAGTGGTGACTGCTTTTCCTTTCAGCAGCGCTGTGAAAATTAAAGTCAAAATGGGATATACTATTACAGACATTTAACTGACTATGCTGAAGCCCATTTCAATACATGCCTGGTGAAGGAATAAGCCTCACAAATGAATTACTTTGCTGCTAATTCATGTAAAACTTGCATATGCAGTGAGGTTTTCTTAAATAAATATTCGATAAGTGAACAAAACTCTAGCACACTAAAGTGCCAAAATAACATGACTGCCTGACCTGATAAAAGATGTAATTGTTTTTAATGAATACACCTGCCAAGTGCAGATATGCAGAGCAGCACCTGATATTTCTGCCCTCTTCTGTCTGCAGGCAGCTGTACGGCACTGACTGCTCCCTAGCACCTTACCTGTTGCTTAGATCTGCAGAGCAAATCCCAACTCACAGATGCCCAACTCTTCTCACTCCCCTTTCAGCACATTCATTTTCTCCAGCTTGCCACTGCCTTGTTTGGTGTTTAAGAAAAAGGAGATCTTGAAAGGAGAAAGAAATTCCTGCTCCCTGATACTGAAACCTCAGGGTATATTCAGGCTTCTCTTGTTCACTGTGCATATATCTGCACATTCATGCATATCTGTTTATACGTGTGCATAAGTGTATATATTGCCTTTTATGTGTACACTAAGTTAAGTCACCAGTTAGTTCACTCACATCTTGTTACTTGGTTCTGAATGTCTCAAATTTTTTTAGAAAGAGAGGTCTGCTTGTTAGAGGTCTCTGAGTGTTAGGTGACCTTGTCATTGTTTAAGAAATTAGAAATATTTTAATTAAGATTATAAGTATTCTTCACTGAATATGTGGTTCAGGGCCCAAGCTCCTACTAAGGCTTGCAAATCACTGCAACGGTGATAATGGTTGATTGATTTCAGGGTCCCACTGCAGTTTTTGCTTCTGGGCCTATATTTGGTCATGGCTACATGCCAAGGACAGGTATGTACTGTTCAGACCTGAAGAAAATAATACAGTTTAGACTGTAGAAAATAATATTGTTTAGACTGTTTAGAAAAACAGTCATTATGTATTTTTTTTTCTATCCTGTTCCACCCTCATTTCTGGAGGTATCACCACACCCAGTAACCTTCCATCAGTAGCTGTCAGCATCCTGGCAGGTCTGGGAGTTTTGCTGAGCTCAATAAAGGAGGCATTTCCTCACCCCAGTAGTTGCATCATGGACAGCTAAGGGCCAGCATAGCTTCAGAGTCTTTTGGTTACAATGCTGTTCTCCTTCTACAGGAACATAAGTTCAGGGTACCTTACATCTGATCTCACTCTACATTCTGTAGAAGTATTTGATGTGCAGCAGTCTCATTTCAATTGCTCCATCCATCTTCTCCACCTAGTGCAAGACTTCACCCTGTGACTGGGAGGGCTGTAGGCTAGAGATACATTGCATTCTTACTTGGTTTACATTTCATCCCTGGAGTACTTGTATGATTCTTGTTTTGTCTTCTTACAGTCCTCTGAGTAAAAATAACAGAAATGAATGCTAGAAAACCTACTTAGTAAGAATTAACTACTTCTTCTGAATGTGCCCCCCTTGCTGAGCTGACTTCTTCCGTTTACTGTTTCAGTCCACTTCTGAAAAATACTTCCTGCACTGAGTAACTGCCCCAAATTTTAAGAAGTTAAGTAGAGAGACACCTGTTTTCTTTTCTCCCTAAACATACCATGCATGGTTTATGAAGTACATTTCAAAGTCCTGTAAGGCTTATGCCGGCATTTTTGTGTGCCACCCCCGCTGAACCAGATGTGGGTATAGTTTAGATGAACAGAGTTACTTGACAAAGAAAGTGAGCTCATTTGGCTTGACAGGCATTATGCTGCCGTGCTTGAAACTGACCAATGAAAATGTCTTGCCATAGAGGGGATTCATTTGGCTCTTTGCTGTATGCTGAAGCTGCCAGCCCGGATGGCAGAGTTTTCATGTTTTTGGGTTGAGACAGTGCTGCTGTCTAATTGATCTTCAGCTGTTTTGATGCGTTACCCAGAAGTCAAAAATTATCATGCTTCACATATATGCACATGTATATGCACATAAAAAGTCATCCCAGGTGTGCAAAATGGTACAGGATGTTTGAGTGAGAGGGAAGGAAGAAATTGTTTTTGTTTTTCTTTCTTTTAGTATTTTAACTTCAGCACTGAAATCTTAAATACAATATTATTGTTACACCAAAAAAAAAATTATAACTAAGAACTGGTCATCTTTGGGCTGTTTCTAATGTTGACACACTATACTTACTACAACAGATTGAACTGATGCCTAAGAGAAACAAAATTCAGCAAATGTCTTTTAAAGGCTAGTTTGACTTGGTTGAGGACTACAGAAACAGGCATGTAGAAGCAGTTCTGGCTGATAGAATGCTCTAATGTATAATTTTTCTGTTATTCCATCTGTTACAACTGGAAACGTATTTTATTTCCCATTGATCTCAGAAAAAGCCTCATCCATCTTAAATTTTTTAAAAAATATACAAGAAAAAACCAAAAAACCCCAAACTAATAAAATACATTGATTTTAAACAACACTAAAAAGCAAACAACAGCCATATTAATTTTTGATAAGGCTTTGATTCACTTCCTTGATAACAAACACCAGTTTAGACAAATCAAGGCTGCATCTCTTCAAGTTTTTCCCCATCTGTCCAAAGTGTAAGCCATCAGAGCCTGCATGTGCTGCTCCTCTGCTCATACCTTACCTATAGAAGGGTTGGGACTTAGACATGGAAGTACAGGGCTTCCTTTGCACTGTCTTAACTTCTGTGATTTTACTCTCTAGCTTTCTCTCTTTTCTCTGTCTCTTTCCTGATTTGGCTGCTTAGGGACAGACAGGTAATGGAGAAGAAATTGAAAGGGAAAATACAGGGAAAATGTAAATGAAAAGAAGTTATTATAACTGTTATAATGAAGTGCCTTTCATTTAAATATAAGAATGTAACGCTGAAATGAACTTGTGATCCTGAAATGCATTTTTAATGAGTTTCCTTTTTATTTTGCTGCTTCAGTGGCATATTTTAAAGACCCTTTGAAAAAAGCCACATTAAAAACCCCACCAAATGCCACAACATGCAAAATTGGATATTGGTTTATTCCAAAACTGCTGATCAGGAAGAGTGGCTCTTCAACACAAAATGTTGCAGTCACTTTATTTAAATGAGTTTGAATTTGCATTGTGATGTGCCATTCTGATTTAGAAAAAAAAAATTAGATTTTCAGATCAAATTGACCCAGCCAGTGAAGCATTAAGAAACTGGCAGGTTTAGTCTGAAAGCCTCATGTTATATCAAACCTGCAGCCGGTGGAAGTCACAGAGCAGCAGTGAGAAAACAACTTTCTCCCTGAAATCTTTCTCTTGTTACTGCATAAGATATTTTTGTTCTCACATATTTTCCCCTTCTTCCCATAGGAGAACGCCCTTTCCAGTGCAATCAGTGTGGAGCCTCCTTCACCCAGAAGGGCAACCTCCTGCGCCACATAAAGCTGCACTCAGGTGAAAAGCCCTTCAAGTGTCACCTGTGCAACTACGCTTGCCGCCGCAGGGATGCCCTCACGGGACACCTGAGGACTCACTCAGGTAAGCAAAGGTTTGGGAATAACCAGGGCTGCTTATCACCATAGCCGCTGAGGAGATGGGGGTGGCCACCAATCCTGAGAGCTCTTCTCACCCTGAGTAGCCCCATCTTGGGGTTAACCAAGCTGTGAGCTGGCCGCAGCGTGTTAGCAGCAAAGAAGTGACTAAACACACGTCACACTCACGACCCTTCACCAGAAGAACTGGGTTTTTTCCCATACTTCTTGGCTGATTCAAAGTTTCTGTATTAGAGTTTCATCTTACGAGCCCCGTGTGAGTAATCCATTTCATAGAAGTACAAACATGACTTAAGTTGATGAATGTTTTAGGGTTAGAGATAATATAAAGTTGAAATACAGTCTTGTATTCATCTTCAGCCTGAGGAGTGAATACTGCCTACACCATTTAGCAGGAGTTATTTGTTGCACATTGTTATTACAAGTACTTTGAAAGAGAGAGTGGGAACAAGGCAGAGGGTGGGAGAAAGAAAGATAATCATCTTCCACAAAAGAGGATGCTCATGGAGTTTTTTAGTGTCTGTCTCAACAGTAATATGGAGATATGAATAAATATTTTTGAATAGCTGCACTTTCCCATTACCATGAACCTCTCATTGTTTGACAGAAGCCACAGTCACATACCTTCTGTGAAGTAAAACCAATTTAGCCCATTTAAAATGCCTTTAAAAGCAGAGTGCCATCTCATCTAGTTCCCCAAGCTAAGCTACAAATGCAAATTGCTATTTGGATGGGAGACTTCCAATACACTTTGCTGGAATTGACACTGGTAATGTTACTTGTGAAAGTTGGTTTTGGGTTCTGGGTGGCAGAAGGGGAGCTCTCAAAGTGATATTTTTGTGCTCCAAAAAATTAGGAAGATTCTTCTCTAGCACATGTATTGAATAATAAGATCCTTAGATTTTCAAAATAATTTCTCTTTGTCCTGTTTTTTCCCAGCCTGATTAAGGAAGGCACATATTTTAAATAGCATTTTGCCTCCCTCTCCTTGTTTTTATTGATTTTCATGGATGCACAATTTGAAACATAGTTTTCATGTATACCTATATATGAAATCTCACCTAGACACTCTTGGTAAACCCTGAGGATTCTGTAGTTAAAGAGACAATGCCTAAATTATAGATAATGATTAGTTCCTGCAACTGGCAAATTGGCACTGATACATTATAAAACAAGTTGGATGTCTGAATCTGATTTTCCCCTCAGAACCTGTAAATAAAATTCAGAAATTAAGCTGTGTAACTATCTAAAATTGTGAAATCACATATAAAGTGACAGTCTTATCATATTAAGACAGAAAATTCAAGTCCGGAACCACACCAAAAAGTATTATTGGTGAAAAATTCCTTGAACTAGCTCGATCTGGATTGATGTAAAACAGAAAATAAAGTGTCATGCCATTTTTCTTAAATTTCCAGAAGCAGAAAACACACAAAATCTGAGACTGTCTTAAAAGAGTTGAGCTGGTTCTGTTCACCAGAACTGACCTCCAGCCAATCAAGTCCCTACCTATACCTCCTGTTTGTCCACTGGAAGTCTCTGTGCAACTGGACACTACAGAAACCACTCCCAGACCTTTGAAGGTGTCTCAGTTCCTAACTTGTGTAGATGCTGTTTTTAAAGATTTAATGTCACAGTCTTTATCTGATCTGAATCATCTAAAATCAGTTTGTAGCACCCATAGAATTGGCCTGTTAATGTAAAGATATACAATCAGTTTTCCATTAGTTGTTTTTCACGTAGATTTTTTAAATTGCCGAAATCTTCCTTCACCACAGCATGGCTTTATTATTTGGGTAGGCTTTTTATCTCTCATCTTTACCATATGCTGTTGAATTTCTCATCTGAATCTCATAATGAATTGTGTTTTCTCCAGTTGGCAAACCCCATAAGTGTGGATACTGTGGTCGCAGTTACAAGCAGCGCAGCTCTTTGGAAGAACATAAAGAACGCTGCCATAACTACCTTCAAACTATGAATCTCTCAAGCAGCATCTATCCAGGTAATAAAAGTATCTATCTGGGCAATACTGCTGTCCTGTCATAAATGCAGAGAAAGGAGTGCAAAAGAATCAGTAGTACCATTTGTGGCAACTTTTGCTTTGGAGAGTCACACACATCCCCCACATGTGTGATATTGTGTCTGGATTAATTCTTTATTTGATAAATATTTGGCTGTTTTCTCACTTTTTTTTAGCTCCAATAAAATGCCAAGGTACAATTCAAACATGTAGCAAAACACTTGCAAGGCCCGGAAAACATCAGTTTGTCATGTCAAGAAAATATGGCTACATCACCTCACCGCCTTCTCTTGGAAGCCTATATTGCAATACGCTTATGGATGTATTTTCAATAAAGACTTAATTCCAGTGTTCTAGTTGGTGCTGCAGAGTTTTCTGCTCTGTACATCTCCTCCCCTTCCCAGCCACAGCTTAAAGGGCTTACATGACCAGTGGGACCAGCTCATCTAACAAGGATGAAATATCTGGCTTTGATCTCACTCTGCCAAGCAAGAGAACATGAAGCCAGAGATATTTAATTTAGGCAATTTGACCTGAGATAGTCCAGAATGGCTAATAATTTGTTGACAGCCTTCTTCCCAAGCTTCCCTTTGAAAGAAAACTGAGGGGAGGTAAGGACTTGTGTTGAGACTAGTGTAATCGTGAAGGTAAAGTCCATTTCTTGGAGAATATCAAAAAACTATACCCAGAAAGGGAGCAAGCAGATATTGGGGCTTGGATTATATTTTGTAACAAAGATCCAGAAGATCTGTAAGGGATTCATCACAGTAATTAGCCACACAAAGTCCTCTTGCTTGTGCAGTTTTAGATGGAGAAGATCCAGTTTCTATGGTGGAGTTTAAATCCAGCCAGTAAGTTCCATTTCCTGCATACCTTTTTAATCCTGTCAGTATATATTATTTAGCTTGTCAAATGACAAAAAATGGAAAGTTCTCTCTGCCCTTTTTGCAATGATGCTTCATTTAATATTTTATATCTGTACAGAACCAGAATATGTTTTTACATGCTATCAAATAATGTAAAGTATATGCACATAATGATAGCAGTGAATACAACTGAGATGCTTCTGCAGGCAGCATGTTAGAGCAGTTCCCCTTCTAATTTTATTGAGGGGCTGCAGAATATATGAATAGAAAACCTCAATGTAATAATACACAGTAAGGAGAAATACTTATTTCTCAAAGACATGACAGGCTTTAGAGCAAATATTCTGGTTTGGGATTTCAGTCTTCAGTGTCTAGCACATGAATTTAAGTGCCTGCACACTGAATTTGAAAATCTGTGTGAATGAGTAGCTGAACTACTACGAAAGTCTTAGTAAAATGAAAGTGATGTCAGGAATCCTAAACTTTAATAAGAAATTAAACACTTTTAGAGACTGACCCTTGTTTTTATCAAATCCTGAAAGGAGACCTTGCACCAGCTTACTACTAAATATCCAATAACTCCATGGGATGAAAACTTGAAGGAATTCCGTAATGCTTTGGAAGAATGACTTCTTCTTATATATACATTTATTTATGTATATTTTCTTGTATATCCTTCTTATATTCTTCTATATTCAATATATTTGACATTATAGGACTGCTTTTGCAAATTAGAAAAAAATAAATTAACTAAAAAGTTTAAATCTCATATTCAGCCAAAGACTTCACTCTTAAAGAAATTTAGTCCTCAGTTAAAAAAATCATTTATATACAGTTCTAAAAAACTGAAATTTTCCTGCATTTTTCCTCATATTTTGCATTATGAAAATGTAGAAAAAACAGTTGAGAATGAGTGGATGCCGTGTGAATTTTACTGTATTCTATCATATAACTAGAAAAGCAAGCAGCTATAATATCACTGTTCTTAAACTATTTCAAGGTGTGATGTGGATCTGTTATTATTCAGACCCCTTTTTTCCCCCATTCTCTAAAAACAAAATTCAAAAAATTTGTATAAAAATATCTGCTAGTCCATCTGATTTGACATTCTGCCACAGCAAGATTGCTTTTTACAGATTTTTTTAAAATACTTCAGGCAGCACACATAGAAAAATTGTCAGTAGAAAGAACCTAAACCTAAACAGCTTGGAAATCTAAAAAATGTAATTGAGAAAGAACTTAAATAAGGGTAAGATAGAGTAAAAGGGAGTAAGAAGTGGAGCGGGAGATTGTACTTACATTTTTAACTTTTACAAAAAATTGGAACCAGATGAATTGAATTGCAAAATTCTTATTTTAGAGGACTAAAATATCACTGTCCATGGGAAGTTCCTCTCTTAGAGATATTACCTGTAGTTTTGCATTTGAGTTGAGTGGAAGTGTGCTGAAGTCTTACCAGGCTTAAATAAAACAGTAGGAGAAGTAGTTTATGAAGTTTTTAAAAGGTCAATTACAGTTCTTGTGTCACTGTGAGTTTTGTGCTTGAAAAGATGACGTGATTTTTTTCACTTTACAGACACCAAATTATAGAGAAATAGTTATGCAGTTGGTTGCAGATTTCAGAGGGTTTCAGTTGCAAGTACTGGGGATTAGTACATGATTCACTTTGCCCTCTTTTTTAAGAAGTTTTAGAAGATTGAAAGTTTAACTGTTAAATACATTACTCACCCTCTCTTGAACTGATTAGAAATGTTATTATATCCTAAACAGATATTTCTTGATAATTTCAACTTTTAACTAAGTATTCAGTCTTTTGTGTCCCTGTTGAATGTCTGCCTTAAAAGATTCTCTGTAAGTCTGTTCCTGAGATGGTACCTGGAAGCCTTGGTCAGCACAAGATGCTGGTGTGTGCTTGTTCAATGATGACTATGTGCCATAAACACCTTTTAGTTTTCTGCACCTTCACGACTAAATTCTTAAAATTTCCTGCATTGATCACAATCTTTAGTGTCATATGGGGCTGGAATATAATTCCATGAAACTCCATATAACTGTCATTGGCACTGGCATTGTCATTGTCACTGTCTCTGCAGTATGTGCTGCTGCAGCAGGGACTCAAGAAACAGTTGTGTACTCCTCAGTTTGGTTGCAGGGTACTGTTGAGTAGGAAACTTCACCTGTTCCTCACAGGTATCCATCAGAGCTGATTTCATATATTTCAGGTCGAACAAAATTTTCACAATCGTCCTTTTATATGGATGATAAGCTGTGGTATATTCTCAGAATAACATTGGATCACAACAATGTGTTCTCAGCTATTGAGAAACAGCCAGGTACCAGAGTAATGGGTCCTGTGAACCAGTTAATCCAGTGATAAAACAAATTCTCAGCAGGCACAGAAGGAAAAATATAGCAGAGCAGGGCACTTAATTGAAATAACTCAAAGAATCAAAGTGTAAAAATAATCTTTTGCATCTTCCTTTATTAGCAACCCAAAAGTTCAGGAAAAATGTCCGTATCTTAGTAGCAGATAAAAGTAAAATTAACCCCTTTTTCTCCCTTGACAAACAAACCAAAAAGACCCCAAACCCCACAAACAGAAAGCCTACAGCAAAACAGTTATGTTGTGATCTCAGTACATTTGCCTTTCTCTTAGGTGCTGGAAGTCAGAAATACCTTTCCATACCTGTTTCACAGTCATTGTTTTGACAGTGCATTTTCATACATCCCTTTTGTTTCTGCAGGAAAGTACTGAAGTAAAATAAATGAAAATGAAATAGTCTCCTTTTCCTAGAGCCTCACATTAAGCTCCTAATTCTACAGAGTCTCAGCAGCAGCAGGAGGTTGGGAAACAGGTTTGAGTATTGGAAATAAATGTTCCACTGAAGGTGTGATTTTATCAATTTAAATTGTTAAAGTCTAAAATAGCATCAAGGAAGTACTGAAATATTTGCTATGGGATAAAAGGGGATAGAAACAAGGGTTGGTGTAGCTTGCAAATAGATTTTCCACTGTTGGAGTTGAGAAGTTGATTAATTTTTCCTGCTGAGGAAGCAATTATCATACACTGGGAGAGGTGCAGAAGGACATTGCAGAGGGTTTCAGTGGGAGAGTGGAAAGGTGAACTACTTTGTGTCCAGGATAAAGTTAGGACCTCATTTATTCACAGAAATGCAGAGTGGCTGTAGAACAAAGGGTGGAGTGATTATGTGACATACAGGCAGAAACCTTGCAGTTGCTATCTCATTTTTGTGTCCTAAATGAGGAAAACATGAGCATTTACATAGATTAACCAGCGTGAGGGAATTTGTTACCGAGAGTCAGAATTGTCCTGTGTCTCATATGCTGAGCTCCTTCATCCAGCTGCTTGGGAGCTAAAAGACATTGACTGACAAATGATAACCTAAGACAACAGTTCCATTAAAATGGAACCTGCCTAACCCTTCTGATGTCATTTGATTTCAGTCATAAAAGACGAAAGTAACCAGAGTGAAATGGCTGAAGACCTGTGCAAGATAGGGTCAGAAAGAGCCCTCGTGCTGGATAGACTAGCAAGTAACGTCGCCAAACGTAAGAGCTCTATGCCTCAGAAATTTGTTGGTAAGAGTTAAACGTTTGCTGTCTCCTAAAAATAAAATAAAACAAAGCCCCCTTAAAAATCACAGCATTTTTACTTTTGCATTATAATATTACTTGTTTTGCTAAATTAACAATATGTATCTCTATAGAAGCAGATACACAGATGTGTTGGAGGGAAAAAGCCAACTAAACATCTCCAGCATAAATTTCTGTGTGTTTAATTGTTCACATTTGGAGATCAATTTTAAACCTATTTTCTGTGTTTCTAAAAGCTTACAGACCAGATCATTACAAAATATGAACAGGTTCTTGAAGTTGCCTTGAGAACCTGAAGATAGGAACAAAAGTTTCCCGTTGGGATAGCATTTGATCAAACTTTGAGAGTTATTTTATTGAAATCTTGAATGACATTCAGATCTGGGCATATTGCTGTTTCCGAAAGCATTTGTGACTAGTTGAACATAGACTGGGTAATATTCTTCACCCTTTCATAAACTCTGTTTATTTTTATAGCCCAAATTGATATGTCTGAAAACAGCACCTAAATGAAATGTAAACTTTGTGTACATTCTATGAAAAATTCAAAAATTTCATGCCCATTTGCACATAGCAGTTCTTGTCTTAATAATAAAAATTTGACATTAAGCCTATAAAAGTGAAGGCTACACATATTGTTCTGTTTAGTAGGCCTGTGCTAAGGAGGGATTACAGCAGTTTTGTGAGACCCACATACAATATTTTGTCAGTTAGGTAAGGTTATTCTTCAATAAATTAAAACATGGGAGATCAGAGGACAGCATATACTCACATCTAGTTAGGTTCTTTTTTAAATCTCTATACGTTTAAAACATTATTCTGTAGGAAACAATCAGATTAAAGTCTCTGAAAGAAAATGCACATTGAGAAGGTCTTCAGTCAAAAGTCAAGGGAAAAAAAAGATCAGTTTATGGGACAGAAAATGCAAATATACTTTCTTCAACAAGGACACGGATGAAAGGAAAATTAGTATTTCCTAGACATAGAAAGGGGAGTTCCAGCTATGTCAGGAGGTGCAACAAAAGGTTTTAAAATAAATTCCAAGGCTTTTTTTCAAGTCCAAAGACAACAATTCTAGGAGGTTGTCAAGGATAAGAAATGCTTATGCTTAAAAAAGGGCAAAAGTTGTAGTAGAGATAGATACCAAAAATATATCAACTATAATATATATGTAAGGCCAACCAGACTAGTTTAGACACTCTAGGGTTTGCATTAGACCAGATACTAATTCTATGAAAGCTCCAGGAAGATTAAAAGTGCTTAAATTTAAAAGGTACTAGCAAATATACTATATGTAATGTATCCTTGGGTGTGGACTGGATATTTCATTCTTTTTTTCTCTGTTCAGCCTGAAAAACAATAAAGACAGCCAGTTTAACTATGAGTTTTAGGAGGGCAGACATTCCTGTCAGTTTTTCAGGGTGCAGTGTAGGAAGACAACCTACTGACAGCAGATATTTGTGGAAATTTGCTAGGCTTCAAAAGAAAAAATTATTCTAAAAAGAAAAAAAAATGCTCACAAATCGTTTCCTTTCCAATCATCATCTGCTGCTTCATACAATAGAAAAATTCCTGACTAACACAAGGTTTGGCTGGCTGCTGAGGAGAGCTTTTGGGTACTTCATTGCTCCTGTAAATTGTCATGTCCCAATACCTGTGCTGAGTCTCAGGGAGAAGAAGAAAATGGCATCCTTCACATAAAGGAAGGAGTGTCTTCTGCTTCAGTAGTTTTTCTCAAGACTAAATTAATTACCTTTCAAAAATTAGATTGTTCAACAAATCCAGCCAGTTACCTCTAACATTCTCTCTGTATTCCGAACTGGAATAGTTCCGAAACCCAAAAGAACTTGGCCATCCAAACCTGAGAGTGAGAACTCCACAAAAAATTGATATATGCTTATAATGTTTAAAAGAACAGGCAGCCAAGAAAGGGAATAAAAAACACTAAGAGAAAGGTGCCCACATGCAGTGAGTGCATTTTTACTGTTTAAGTACCTGCTGCAGAATCCTGAGCAATGCAAACTTTGAAGTGCATCAAGCTATTAGCAGTTTAATTTACTTATGCTCTAATAACCACAGAAATGAGCTATTATTTTTAATGAGTGCAAGTATTACTGCATTGCCTAGATATAGAAATGGTGTCTGCCTTCCCTAACTTTGTGTGTGTTTCAGACACTTTGCTTGGAAACAAATTTTTCTTATGAACACTTGATTCTCTCAGCACAACTACCAACTAGTTATGCTACATAAAGCAAATACTACCCAAGAAACAGATATTAAAATCTTGCTTTCTGGATGCCCAAAATTTTGTTTAAAATGAGGACCAGCCCCATTTTTCAGTGGTGTGTAGTGCCCGTGGAATAGGAATGATTTTGGCTTCATTTTTCCTCCTTGAATAAAGTGTATATGTTCATGTTAGGAGAGTTTTCCTGTATTTAATTCGAGAGTCTTTTACAATGCCTATTTTGAATCTTAGGCAAATCTGCCTGAAAAGTATAGCATTATAGAGGATAAATCTGGAGTTTAAAAAAAATGCAGCCCAAATTGGCAGAGTGATTGGGAAAGAAAACAAGAGGAACTGGAAGCTTGTGTAGCATAGCAGCTAGAAGGTGTCTGTACCCTACATCCCCTGTGGGAACTTATGCAATGCTCAGGGTATTTCTTTCTCTGCTTGCAGAGCATGGAACTGGTATGAAACCATATCTTGTGGGAAATGCAGACCACAGGACTTCCTACACTTTAGCCCCCATCATTGCAAAAGTCTTATGCTAGAAGGTTTTTGGTCTCTTCACTGACTTTGAATGGTCAATCTGAGTAGAAGCTGCGTGGAAAATTGTTGATAAATTAATGTGCAGATCTTCTGGTAAAATTTCCATTCTTCTGTTAGCATTTCTTTTGACAAATTAGGACTTTCCAAGACCTACCAGTAAATTTCATGTTCATCAGGAAATGGTGACAGCACTTCACAGAGATGTTTGTGGCTTTTAGTGTTTCCCAAGATCTGAAGAGCTAGAAAATCCATCCAGACTATCAACAATATGTTATTGGTAGACCATAGGATCTTGTGAAAATCTTTTACCTCTTTACATTAGCATGAATTTATTAAGGGCCTGGTAGTAACTGATGGTTTACACTGTTAGAGAAGACTGCTTAAGTTCATAAAATCAATATCTGCACATTTAAATAGTTTTTCCCACTCCTAACTTTTTTCTTCTATATTTTGCTATCTGTACAGTAATTTGGGGGAAATTGTAGTGAACTTCAATGTTCAATGCTGGGGTATCCAGCTAAATATACTGTCAAGGTATGCTATTAGCACAGTCTGATTTAAAAAAAAATATAGATAGATTTACCCCTTACTCAAGGCATCCCATCAGAATTAAAGATACCAATAACAAGTAATCTTGCTCCAGCTAAGGCTTTCTCCCTTGTAGGAAAAATATGCTCCAAATACAAATGTGCTTAAATTTTTTCCATGATTCTTGGTTTCTCCTGTATACAGGAACTTTTTGACACAAAATATTTAGGGACATGGGTAGTTTCTGGTAATGTGTCTAATGTGGCTTATGATAGGTGTGTGGGGATTGAGGCAATATGAAAAATAAAGTTTTTATTGATTTTTCTCCAAAATGACATATATATGACCACATTGCTGATATGGATTATTTCTAAGAAACTGAAGGTCTGAAACTAAACCATACGACTTCCAGTCTAAGATTGTAATACTTTATGTAAGAGTATTGATAATGTGCATCATGTTCTGAAGCATCGGGCCGAGCTTGCTGTGGCTGTGAGGGCACACTGGCTTCAGCAGCCACAAAGGCAGTGAGTGCCTCTGCTCATTGTAGAGGCAGATGCGGGACACCAGTAAGAAAGGAGAAAGATATGACAAAGCGCTAGATCTCTAGCTCCCAGGAGTCCCTGTATAATTATTTCCAGTATTTCTTTCATCCATTTGCTTTTCCAAAACCCTCAAATTTTTTTGCATGCTGAAAAAGACCACCAACCCACCAGTTTTCTGAGCAGCTGTATTAGAGAACCCTGAATACCTTAGGTGGATTTCAGAGGTGGATTTGGTCAACTGTCCTCTTCCCTGTTTTATTAATCCATGACATTAATTTCCTTAATCATGTGGAAATCAGCCCTCTAACTCCTCGCTGTGTTCCACTGCAGGTGACAAATGCTTGCCCGATCTTCCATACGATGCCAGCATCAACTACGAGAAGGAGAACGAGCTGATGCAGACGCACGTGATCGACCAGGCCATCAACAACGCCATCAGTTACCTGGGGGCAGAGTCCCTGCGCCCCCTCGTCCAGACACCGCCGGGCGGCTCTGAGGGAGTGCCCGTCATCAGCCCCATGTACCAGCTCCACAAACCTCTTGGGGACAATCAGATTCGCTCCAACCTCCCTCAGGACAGCGCAGTTGAAAACTTGTTGCTGCTTTCCAAAGCCAAGTCTGTCTCCTCGGAACGAGATGTCTCTCCCAGCAACAGCTGCCAAGACTCAACAGATACAGAGAGCAATAATGAGGAGCGCAGTGGTTTAATCTACCTGACAAACCACATAGGTGCCCATGCAAGAAATGGCATCTCTATAAAAGAAGAAAACAGGCAATACGATGTCTTGAGAGCAGGCACTGACAATTCCCAGGATGCTTTTAAAGTGATCAGCAGCAATGGGGAGCAAGTAAGGGTTTACAAGTGTGAACACTGTCGAGTCCTTTTCTTGGATCACGTGATGTATACAATCCATATGGGCTGCCATGGGTTCCGTGATCCTTTTGAATGCAACATGTGTGGCTACCACAGCCAGGACAGATATGAATTCTCTTCCCACATAACTCGAGGGGAGCACCGTTTCCACATGGGCTAAAACACTGGCACAGATCAAGCCTCAACAGCTGCGTTACTGGAGCTGCACGAGCCATGACAGCAACAAAGCAAAAGTCAGCTGGACAGTAAAAGTCACAAGAGAATCATAAGTTCAGCAATGTTCTCCCACAAGAACAGAGATTTCATTTTGGTAGCATGCATTGCAACTCAGTTTTCTAAAATGAGTTTTTACTGAAAATGTTTGATCACCAAAAACCTTTAGTAATGTATGTAGTTTTTGTAGTCACATAGCTGAGAGCCCTTCCCTGAACTGATGCTTCTTGCAAGCCCCCTTGCCAGAACTCTTAACCACGTGCAGAGTGCTCCACACAATGAGGACACAACAGGCAGCAGCAGCCAGGCTTTCTCTCTTAGCACCCTGGGCGCAGGGCTCTTCTACCAGAAGTGTGATTTTTTTTGATTTCCAGTATTATTTGACTACTTTAAGAAGATTGAACTCAGCTAAAGATGGATGGACCCATTTCAGATGACTTCACCAACCGCTGGGGTTGGATGGGACCCCCTCAGCCAGAAGGTTCTGAGCTGCTTTGGTGGTAAGAAGAACATTTCCACCTGCAAGGGTGCTACTGGTATTGATAGCACAACATGCCATGTTTGTGTCACTAGGCAGGCAAGCAGGAATGCAAAAGATAGAAGAAACACCCTTGTAATATACTCTGTGAAGTATGAATTGCATTTAATGTATAGAAAAAGGGTATTGTTGGCTCTTCTTTGAATAAATATTTTCTCTTCCTATCTAATAAACCCCCACTTTTTGTTAAGCAACCCCTCCTTACTCTTCATATAAAAGTTACAATGTATTTAATTTTTTTTCTCTTTAAAGTTTTAGTTATTTAGAAGGGTATGATGTACAGTTGAGAAAGTAGATAGGTATTTGTGTGGGGAGTCTCCTTAAGCACATTTTTCATCTTTTTAAACTGTCTGGAAAATGTCCAAATGTCCCTCTCTTAGATACAAAAAAAATCCTATTTTGCTGGCACAGAAGATGTCCTCTTGTAAATGTTGTGGCTCTACTCATAAGTGTTGCACTTGATTATTTTTAAAGCACTGAGATTAATTAAACCAGCCAGTCAAAATTTGCAGCCCTCTTCTTTTTTCCTGGCAATTGCCATATAGTGAGGGACCGAGACCCACAAAGTTGTGGTGACCGTTTACTTTCTATCCAACCAGTCATTTCACTAAGTGCTTTGAGTTACTTTTACTTCAGTGGAACTAATCTTAAGATACAAAAAGTATTGGGTTTTGCAAAATGGAGGCGAGAGGCTGCAGCATTTTGTAGAATGCAGAGAAGTCCACCAAAATCTTTCTCCATGATGAGTTCTGCTGCAGGTACTATAGCTTCAGTTAGAATCAAAACTTCTATGACAAATAGATTTTAACTCTATACACATCTGATAAAAAAACTTTTTTTAAAAGCTTCTACTTAACTTCCTCTTCCAAATAGTTCATTTCTCTCCCTGAGCACCCCCATGCATTAAGACTGGACAAAAGTAATTTTTTTGCAGCTGCATAAAAATCTGTCACTGATGCTGCAATATTTTCTGGGAAACATTCATAAAAAACCCATCTTATTAACTTAATGTTGAAAATACTTCCACCCTGCATAAGGAATGAATATTTTACAGTAAACACCATTAAATACCCAACAAGACTAGCAGTCTTGTCATACATTTACAGATTTTCCATTCGCAAGTGCATGCAAGCACATGTATTTACTATAAAACAGATTTGATGGGACCATGAACTGCTTGTACCTGGGCCAGTGTGGCCTGATACTACATTTGCAGCTACATTTGATAAACATTTCCTATATACACATACCATTACAGGCATGCCGAGTTCCTTCTGCTTTCACTTTGGCAGGTGTAGGTCAGCAGCAACAACAGTGGAGCTGAGGAAGGACATTGATAAAAATATGAATCACAAATGTGTGCTTACACAAGCTCCAGCTTTGGCTGTTCATGCAGCTGTGAGGCCCTTGCTTCACTGGACACGTGGGCACGGTGGTGTTTTTACACTGAACCTGCAGGAGAGCCTGACAATGTGGTGGCTTTGTCACCAGAGTGAATGCTGTGCAGGAATGCCCACAGACCAGTGCATCCTCAGCAGGGAAAACACATTACTAGTACGTGTTATCCCCCAAAATGAGCAGTGTGAACTACAGACCCAAAGGTGGTCGTCTCTATTCCCACGTTAGAACTCAGTTGCCTTGAGGGATTTTGTTGATGCCCTCTACTGTATCATAACCCAGCTGGGAGGTTGTTGCTTGTTGCCTTCCAGCCCAAGAGGCTGCACGAGGGGTGAGCACAAGGAATCCCTGGCCAAGACCCAGCCATGGTCTTGTCATCAATGCCTGCTACACATTCAGCTCCAATTCACCTGGCAGTAAGGTGTTACCAAATATTTTGCATAGGAATGATCTGAAGAGGACTTTCCGGGGGTTAACTTACATGGATGAGTTTCCTTAATTTTAACCTTTCTTTAAGTACAGATGGAATAGGTTCAGTTTTCATAGCTGGCAGAGTTACATTCAGCTGTTCTTACCCCTCTCCAATTTTGATTGATGCCAAACGAGAGCGTACAAAGTAATTTCTGAGCCCTGCTGCAATGTCCTGTGTGAGATCAGACACTGGCTGTACAGAAATGTTCTGCTTTTATTGCTCTTAGACCTCTTTCCTGTTCTTCCTAGGTTTAGGTCACTATATACCCCATGCCATATTTTTTTCCACCCTTCATTTTAAGACTCCCCCAGCTATACAGGGGAGGGGGACAGCAGCTTACTCAGGTGGTTTTGTTTCTTTGCTTTTACCAAAAACCAGCACATATAAAGCCACGTGCATGAGCCGTGCAAACAAGCACAGCTCCAGAGGAGTTCGAGTGTGCCTCAAACACAGCTTGGAGAGGTGATTTCTGATTCCTGGGTAGGTTTGCTACCTTCACCACATCTCTGTGCACACACACGTGTCTCAGTCCCTGTGTCTCTCCTTCTGTCCACATGCACATGCCCTCTCTGTGGCTTTGTGAATCATTAATATTTTATATACATTTGTATGTGTATATGTATCTAAAATGGTTGGTATGACATGATGGTGATGCACTGTCACTCACAGTGGGTTTGTTTCCTGACTCTGGAGTTTTCTTATTTATACTATAACAGAATATGTTGATGTTGTATAATAAACAGTACAGTAGTATAAGTAAGCATATTAAGACACAGTGTATCAGGGCATAGTCTAATGGCAGAGCAAATGGCATTCTCTGTTCACTGAAGGGCTTTTTTAGTTTTGCTTTTTTCCAGTGTTCTTCTCTTTTGCACAAAATCATCCTCATTTTGTTTAGGAACAAGTGGTTCAGTAATTTTATTTATGAACATATGCAAGGATGGCATGAAAATAGGATGTTGTGTCTGTGTTCATTGAAACAAACTGTGCCCTCAGAAAAGTATAGTGAATTCTTCTTTTTTGCTCTTTTTTTGCTCTAGTGCAATACCCTGATATGGCTTAGTTGATCTTTAAAACTAGTAAATATGTGAGTGGTTTTAAGTTTATATCTGTTTTAAAAAAGTAAAAAGTAATTGAGTCCCCTTCTTCCCCAGGCACTGCCTTTTCTAATGGAAAAAGTTGTATTTACACCTTTTTTTTTTTTTTGCTGTGGTTTTATATTGTAACTTCATTTTCTTTGAGAATATTGTATTTAAAAAAAAAGCCATTTCATATAAATTGGAAATATTATTAAATTATGTCTGGAAACTGAGATGTATCTTTTGAGACAAGAGAACGAGATAAAAACCCCAAACCCCAGAATATTTTGGTCACTCTCCTCACGGGTGAAGGAGGCACTGGGCTCAGCTGGAGGCTCTGTGTTTGTGGTGTTGACTGTGTGGGAGGGGACACAGAGTAAGGTGAGGTGCAGATAGACAGAGCCCCATGGGGATTCCATCATGCTGTCCCTGCACCATGGAAAGTCCATCCATGTTTTCCCGGCACTATGGTGAGTCCATCGGTGCTGGCCTTGCAATCCAAACTCTGTGGCCAAAAATGCTAGGCTGTGTCACCACCCTTCGTGCGAGGCAGCCTTGCTCAGCCAGCTCCAGGTCCTGAACACCTGCTCTCCAGAGTGTCCCTGCCCATCCCAATCTCCCAGGTCCTGCAAGCAGCCCACTGCTGAGAAGTGCTTCCCCTCCAGCCCTCTCCTCACCCCCTTCCCTCCCACCAGCCAGATGGAGTCATTACAGAACACAATTACTTCTGCATGTAGAGTCATGGTAATTCAAAATAAAACACAGAGAAATTATTTCTACCATTTGCCATAACAAAGGTGATTTCTCTGCGGGTGTCCCTCTTTGTTCGGATTCCAGCACAGTAAATTTCACATCACATATTTAATGCAAACTAGGATCAGTGTTTTTCTCAGAAAAGGCACCATTTATAAAGTTTCAGAAATATTTCCATTTGTTAAATACCATAATTTTGAACAAACAGAGGTTTTTAAAAAAAGAAAAACAATCTCCAAACAAACGCTTATGATATTGCAATTAATTTTTTTACAGGTTCCCAAAATCTAAATTTTCCTTAAGTTCCTTAAGTTTTTGTGGTATAGTTTCATTATAAACTATGACTATATAATATATGAAGGAGCTAACATCCTAGTTTCTTTGTTCCCCATCATAGCTGGTTCTCAGTAAATGAAACTACAGATTTCTGTTTCAGCTAGTGACTTTTCTCCAAAACAAATATGTTCTGTTTAATAATAATAAACACAAAACATAGACCAAATTTACTATTCTCAAGCAGTGTTATTAAATCCTTTAGCTAGAGAAATCCACAGATTTAAATGCAAGTTTGTGTTCCTAAAACTCTATTCTGGGTCTCTTATCTATTATGTTTCAAAGACTTCCTTCAAATCAACACATTTATATTTTTTCCTACTCCAATAGCTTGATTAAATTACATGAGAAACTGTGGCAGGTGCCAAGATACAAATTGTTACACAGACAAAACCTGCATCTACCGGGGTGAGTGGTTTCAGCCTCAAGTGCTCAGACCAGCTTCCCAATCCATACATAGCCATCAAAACACCAAAACAGCATTAACCTCTGCTCAACAAACAGTGGTTTTGAAATCAAGAAATACACTAAAATACACAAGAATATTTTAGAGATAGCAAAATGAGAACTCAGAGCCAGACCTGGAGCACATGGATCCTGTGTGTGTGTGTGTGTGTGTGTGTGTGTGTGTGAGAATCACTCAACATTGTACTAAGGGGAAAGGAGTTAGAAATGCTCCTGACTTTGCCAGTACACTGAGTACATTGCACTGCTTTTATCAGCTTGTCAAAAAGATGGTCAAAAAGAAAGGAAAACTTTCACTCAAAGCTTCATGTTTCACCAGCAGCACCAGCAATTTGAAAACTGAAAATATGGCAACTGGAAAAGCAAAATATTTGATTTCTGAACAAACTGTTCATGCCTGTCTTGTGGGTCAAATCTCCAGGGCATCCTTCCCTGCTGTGGGCCATCCAGGCTCTGTCCACTAGCATGAAACATAGGAAGCTTCTTATCTGGAAGGAAAATTTTACATGAGAACCAATTTTGGTCAAAATGCATCATGAAAGAAAGAAAAATTCCTCAGATCTGACCTGTGGAAGGCAAAAGAAGTCTTAATCTTAACAGACACCCAAATTGGGACATCCATTATCCCAATTTCTAAATTTTAATGCTTTATTTTGGCCACACAGACTTTGACTTTTCAGGGCTGCTGAATTGAAGTCACTGGCAGCAGCAGACAGGGATTTCTGAAATCCTGCTGTAATTGCCAGTAGATGGATGTACAGAAAACAGGAAGGACAAAAATTTTCCAAGTTTCGCTGAAAGTAGGAATCGCTGGAAGTGAGAAATCCAAAGCCAGGCTTCAGACAGCAGCAGTTAATCACATTTAAACTAAAAAAGGCTGCACAAGCATGACTGAAACCCTGCTCTTGCCAAATGAACAGATCCCTGTTAACTGCAGCGACGTTTCTGCTGCATTTATTGTTACAATTTTTTTTTTCTTTTCATATAGAGAAAGGTCTCACTGCTTCAAAGCCATCCCAGGACATGGAACAGATCCTGGTTTTATCTGTCCTGACCACACATATGAAACATGTGAATGATAGAGGGCAGCTGCTGCTGTTCCTGCCGCTGGTGGCGGCTGCAAATCACACAAACCAACGCCTTCCTGTCCCTCGGGAGAGAAGTGAAGGTTCTGGTTTATGAGCAGTTAGAGAATAAAAAAAGAAAAAAAAAAGTAGAAAAAAAATCTACACCTTGCAGCAGACAGTGAGGCAGGGGCTGGTGGGGGTGAGGAAGTTAATCAGCCCCAGGCAGGCTGTTCGGGATGAGGCCAAACAGATGGCTCGTCCCCGAAACGGCAAAACGGGAAGCAGATGTGGCCACCGCTTCTCCCCATGCATAACTGGGAACCAGCCGGTTGGTGAGGAACTTTGCATAACAAGGATAATTTGGTATCAAAACTGTCCCTAGAAGTGATCTGAATGGATCTGGGCACAGTTGACAGTTTTCACTTCTTGTTTCCCACTCAAGGTTCAACCAGATTAAATCTTAAATGTGACCTGACTGCTTGCCGGGGGTGCTCTCAGCTCTCTTCTAGGGAAACCTCTGGTGGGAGTCCTCAGGTCTCCACTGGAGCTTTCAGGTATAAAACCCTGCTCTCTGTTCAGTCAGTTGACATTTTAGTGACCAATTTCAGCATGCCCTGATTTTTCAATCTGAAGCCCATAAACTTTTCAGCAAGCAGAAGAACTGACCTTGAAGTCATCTCCTCTATTTGCATGCCCCAAAACTCATAGAGCCTGGATACAGGAATGCCATAAGCCTGGGCTAACATCCCCTGTAATCTCCTTTCCACTAAGAACAAAGCCAAGGGCCCCAGAGGAGCCCAGCATCCCCTCCTGGGCAGAGATCTTCTGCCTGAGGGAGCAGGGATAGGAGCCTCTGGCTGCAAAGCCTCACCAACATGTCAGAGCTTTTGCACCTGCCAGCCCTGCATGCACTTTACCACCATAACTGGGAAAATAGCCTGAGTATTGAGGGGGCAGTTTAAAACATAGATGGGATGCGTACTACAAGTAAATGAGGGGGTTTTCTTTTTCAATTCCTCCCTATTTTGTTCCAAAGGAGACAGCAATGTCAATTTGACTACAGATTTTACTCTGTAGTGTCCCTGTTGCATTGACAGGGATTAAAGAAACTACAGCCCTAATATGTCATAAAAATCAGGAGAGAGATCCACACAGCTCTTAACATTCAGGGTTGTTAGAATCTGGATTCAAACCCTCCAGGTTTATTTCACTGATAGTTGCAGTGTACAAAAATATATCTTTATCACCTTACAGAGATTCCTCAGTGTAGCCATGGGACAGAATATAGACTTACTTTCCATTATGTTAAAGAAAAAGAAGAGGGTGAAAATACTTGCCAAAAACATATTTGTAGGCAGTAACCAAAGCCCTGTTACATGAGTTTCACTTTTTAAATAAGTGATTTACCTCCCCAAGTCCAGCTCTGAAACATTCACAAACTCTTTATTTTTGCTTCGCATCCAGTCACTTAGTTCCTGGCTAATAATATAGATAGTGTCTTATTTGCATAGTCTAGCAAATGCACATGGGAATTGTGCTGAGCACTCACATGTACGTAGGGGGTTTTTGGACTCATTAAGTATTGGTACAAAGTAGAATGGTTACTTCTGCTTTGGGAACATCTGTCTCTCCATCGCTCTGTAATCGAGGCTGAGACACCAACCAGTTTTATAGGGAGTATTGTAATTATATTATGATATTATTATAGCACCTGACAAGAGAATTTCTTCTGCATGAACCAGGGTAAAGCTGAGTAAGTGAGAATACTCAGGCTCCTGAAGAGCACCCAGCACCAACAGACCCTGCAGCTGCTTTTTCCTGAGCCACAACTCCATCGCATATAATTGACTTTTAAAGAAAGGTGGGATCCTGAGCAGCAGAAAGAGCAGAGCTAGAGAAGCTTGAGTGGTTTTAGGAAAACAGTGAAATGCATGTGTTAATAGAACAAATCTAAAATTAGGCATTTTCACCCATTTTCAAAATTAGGCATTTCCAAACCCCAGGCCAGGAGAAGGAGACTACAGGCATCTGCCTGAGTTTCATTAACTACTTCTTGATAGCTTAACCATTGGTCATTGAAAGTAGGAGCAAATGTACCAGAAGTGATAGGCAGACCAGAAGGGAAATGAAGGGTGGTAGAAGATTGGGTGGAAAAATTAAGATATCAAGTTCAGCAGTGAAGAAATTGCTCTCTACCATAAGGGTTATTACTATGGAATTAAGAAAAGCCAAACCCAGTGCATTCCAGGGGAAAAAAATCCACTTTTCTTAATGGCTGCATGCCTATTACAGAGGGCCTACTATACCATGGGAGAGTTGCCCTCTTCTCTTGATTATCCTTAAACCTGACATCAACTTCTGAATTAAAACTATTCTTCTATTTAGATCTCGGTGACAGCTCCCTACTCCCCTGATAAATCCAGGCAGTCAACACAGGAGCTCCCACTATACATTCACACTTCCTTTTTACTATCTTCTGACAAAG